GGAAAGGGACTGGAAACCCAGAGACCATGGATTGGCAGTTACCTCTTAACACCGTCCGTAGCATAACTCTCAGGGCAAGGTGGCTCTGGCTGGGGTTTGAGGATATCACTGAAGAGTAGCGACTGTAGACAAGTGAAAACAAAACAGTCAAAAGTGGGATCTTTCATTGCTTTGTCCATCCACCTTCTCCCAGACATTACAACAAAGGCCACAGATAAAACATGGACCCTCGTTTCAAAGCCTTATCCTACTTCCAAAAACAAGGTAAAAAACCCAACAATTCAACGGGAATGGCATCAAGCTTCTAATGCAAAAGCAAAGCTCCCACTGGACTCCAGCATGAGCAAACCCCAAACTAGAGACAGCCTCGTGCAGTACCCCCTGGGCTGCCCTGCCAGCATGCAACCCACTAACGGCTCTGACCTCCTGGGGATCCTCTTTGAAAGTGCTGTCTGGCTGCCACCTCTGCTGTGGTGGGGCTACGGGGATGGTCTCGAAGAGGGAGTTCAATGAGCTGTTGTCGTATACATCCCCTGGAGGGACCATGTAGTTGTCTGGGGTGGCATCCAGCTTGCTAGTGCCTGGTGGAAGCATGGCTGGCTTGTGAGGAGTAGGGACGCCTTCAAGACTTAAGCCGTTCTTCTTCTGTGGCTCACAATATTCTTGGGTCATGGAAACATTTTCAGACAAGAGCTTCATGAGATGGGCTGAGCCATCAAAGGATGCAATCTCTGGGTCGTACTCCATTCCGTGGCAGTGCCTGGTGGAGAAAGGGTCCTGTCTCAAACCAGGGCAGAGGGTGGACAACCCCAGCAAGTTGTCACAGCGAGAAGCAAGTGCCTTGATGTGCTGCTGGGAAGCAAACTGCACAGTCTAGCTGCCAGGTGACCTTGAATCAGCTGTGTACATCTCCTGCTTGATATGGGAGATCTGACAGGCCCGTGGGTGATCTCCACCTACACACACACCTCTCAGTGCAATCAGCAAGAGCCAGAGGTGCTCAGCAGACAAGGGATGATCACACGGAATCAGAGAATACGGTTTAGACGTGGTTTGGGGCTGCAGATCCAGGGCCTACATCCATTATTTCTTTATTTAGGCTATTAAACACTCAGAGCAGCAGGGACAATAAGAAAGATAACTGCTATATGGTCTTTCCATCTTAGTCTTTTTAAGGCTTATTGACACTGAAAGTTGATTTTTTTTAAATGTCTTTTTTTTTTTTTTAAGGAAAGCTGATTCTTGTACAAATTCACAAACTCCAAGAGCTTAGGAAGCAAAACTCCCAGACAACATGAGATCAGTGAAAAATTGACAGGGCTGCAGTACTGGAAGTGAGGTGTATGGCCCAGACTTCAGACCAGACTTCAGAGCAGAAAAGACTAAGTATAGGAGCTATCAAGTGATAAAGACATGTACAAAAATGCACTCCTCACACACGGAAACCATCCCTTTGTGCAGCATCCCAAGAACTGGTCCCTTCTGCAGCGGTGACTCTGTGACCCTGCCGACTCTGCAGCCCTAGCTGAGCTGGGAAAAGGTGGCTTACTGCCCCTGTTACCATGCTCAGAAAACAAACCAACCCCCACACTAGCAACCTGCACACCTCTTGGCAGCATGAGCTACCCCCAAGGAAAGTAAAGCTGAATGAGTAGCTCCCACCCACTCTGCTTCGAGAGCTTCACCTTCAGGTATGTGCTGAAATTTCAGTAGTTAATAAAAAAACATACCACTGTCCAGAATGCAGTGGTCTTTCAGAGAGGAGATAACTTACTTATGAAGAAGGAACGAAGTATCGTTCAAGAGGCTTATTCTGTCAAGTAGTTAAAAACAGACAACCAGAAAAGGTTGCCAAAGTACACAGCATCCAGGAAGGGGAACTGAACTCATAGTGGCAAATGAGCCATTAATTTAATAGTTAATTATCTGAAAACCTCAAAGGACAAATGGGAGTCACTGGAAGAAAATCCTGAGAGACTGGAAGCAAGGGGAACAGAAATCCTTATCAGCCTAGTGAATGGAAGAGGACTTGGTCATTCCCTTCTTGCTGCCAATGTTTAATCCCTTTCCCCTTTCCAACTGTCACAAAGTAGGAAATAAAGACAAATTCTTCAGTTGCTGCAAATCAGTGTAACTCCTCTGAACACAGCTAGACAGATCCTCAGTTGTGTAAATGGGTGTAGCTCAATTTATACCTGCTTGGGATCTAGCCTAAAGAATTTTAATATATGTCTCAGGGTTAATAACCTCCACTGTTGTTGGTAATAACACTGTGCTTTGATGTCTATTTTATGCAAGCTAAGAAACCCATCATGCATGCAAGCAGCTGCAGGAGAATTAGACAGCTAGAGAGAGCAAAAAATGAAGCTAACCTCTTTCCTAGTTCATTGCGTCCCATCATACCAGATGGAAGAATCCTCTTCTCCTTTGGGACCTAAAACAAGGCAGAACAAAGAGTTTGTTTATTGTTAGATTTTATTAATGGAAAACAGAGGCAAAATTAGCCTTGTCTGTGTAGCAAGTGAAGTCTCATAGATAAAACACTGGGTGAATAATAAACATCGGGTGAGGTGTTAAGACCTGGGCTCTCTTTCTGGTTCTGCCGTGGATTCCCAAGGTAACCTTAGGCAAGCCACATCATTTTGTTCTGGGAAGGACTTTCAAAAGCACCCAAGTGAATGGGAACATCAGTCCTATTGGTTTCAATTAGGGCTAAATCATATCCACATTTCTTGAAGCCCCATCCTGCAGCAACACTGGAAAAATAAAGATGCTAGGGTCTGCAAGGCACCTAGCTACTCCAGCTCCATGTCTCTCAAAGCATTCCCGTTTCTTATATGAAAGCTGTCGGGTAAAAAAACCCACCAGGCTGAGATTCAAGACACCCAGGTTCAGTCTTCCAGCCTGTTCTGGCTTCCCTCTACAGTATAATGGTATTTTGTGCCTCGGTTTACCATCTGTGCACTGGGGAGAATAGTGGCACTCTATGCCTGGGCGTGTTATGAGGTTCTTTGCATAAACAACATGGAGAGCTCAGGAGATGGGTACCCTCCTAAGGTGGCTGAGCACTTATTTTACCTTCATGCTTCTCCTCCGGGACAAACTCCCCCAAGACACCCAGCTCCAATGGGAACGTACCATGTAGTAGTCATAGAGGAGGCTCAGGGCAGCCACGCTGTCATCATCTCCGTTCACCCTCATCATAGCTTTGGTGGCTGCAGTCAAGGGGTTCTCTAGGTAGGTTTTCCAGGCTTCATCTTCATTGGTATAGGGGAATTTCTGGAAGTTCATGGTGTCATTCTTCATCAGACGCACAGATCTAAAACTGAGCCAGAGGAAATGGAATGAAAGATACTAATTTTCCACAGCAATTTCCATGCCACCCAGCTGAACACATGAAGGGCTTCCCAAAGGCACTGCTGGAATGGAGAAGGGATGCTTTCCTGGTTCTTAACTCCCAGAGTCTTCAGGATTACCAATTCTTCTGCCTGTAGCTATGTACAAAATTAGGCCAGAGTCTCTCTGGTGGGGCCATGCAGAGTGGCAGGTGTACCCCTGTTTCCCTCCTCCTGCCCCAGGGATGCAAAACACCACGACATCGTCTGCAACTGCTCCTTCCTCAGCAAGCACATGCTACCAGCCAGCCACATCATGCACCGCCAAGGTGGGATGCTGGTCAGTAACTTGAACGCAACATCATTGGGAGACTTTGTAAAACTTTTCCTTGAATTTGGAGCTAAAGGCCAGTGCAGCCCACAAAATGTAAGTGATCACTCAGTGTTCAGAGAACTTGACTTACCCAGATGAAACCAAACCCCGTCATTTTTCTTTGCTGTAGTTCATGGTTTTTAAATTTAGTTCCAACCTAACTTTTTTTTTTTCAGTCGTTTGTATATGATTTTACTTAGAGGGAAGTAGACAGGCAGATCACAACACCCTCCCTTCCACTAAAAAATTCCTGACAAAGGTGAGGCTCATGGGACTACGTGAGCTGAGAAGCAACATACCAAAATAATGCCCTGCCTGTCCTCTCTTCTGGCACTTTCTCCAGGTCTCTCCATCTTATGTTAATAAACTGTCAGACACTTAATTACCCAAACATTGGTCATCTTTCCTTTTCCTCCAGCAAATCCTACTAGCAGCCAGCACAGAAGCGCCTCCACGCATTCCCTGGGTGCTCCGTGCTGCAGGTTCACCCCGTTCAGAGGAGAGGATGAGTCAGTGGCCGTACTCCTGTCACGTCCTTCAGCCACGTGTATAAGGTGTCACCACAACAGCTCATATTATTCATCATAAAAAACAAGCTTTGTGGACAAAAATTACTTTTTAATGAAAATGGAAACTTCCTAGAAGGGCAGACCAGTTTTTATTCGCAGAAGAAGTTCAAAAAAAATTGTAAGAAGAAAGATTTCTTTAAATCTCCAAAGTTGCCAAGAGGAGAACTTTCTCAATTGCTGATTTTTTTATGGAAAGGCAAAGAATATCTACAGGAATTTAGGTAATGAATGCTACATTTTAATGGCATTTTTATATGGAATATGTTGTTTCCATTAAGCTACTCTCCATATGTTTATATGGAGTCTAGCCCATAAGTCCTGGGCTAGACTTTTTAGTGAATCATTTGGAGAACAGTAATTGCTCTTGAAAGGAATCTGGCATCTCTGAAACTCCCAATTATTGCTAACCACGACAGATACTGCCAGCCCGTTTGGTGTGAGCTGCCCACGCTGACGTGGTGAAAAACCAGGTGCTCAGCGGATGCTCCTGGGTTGGAAGGTTGCGGAGGTGGACCTTGGACGGGGTAAAAGATGCTGGTCCATCCTCCCTGGCAGCTCAACTAAGACAGCTTCACTCCTGCACGTGCACCGATCTCTCACGCTGCCATGTCTCCAGCAGGGAATACACATATAAACCGTGCATGGATAGTTTTGGTGATGCTCCCGGATCAAACTCAAGAGCTCTCCTTGGCTGAGCAGAGTGGCAGCCCTGTAATGGTACACAGTCTCTCCTAGAGCAGCACAAGGGCCATCAAGGGCTGCCTCTGCTGTCCTTGTCACCTTTTTATTAAAGAATATGCTTCCACAGAGAGTCCCTCCACATCCGAGCAGCACAGCAGAGAAGCTGGTAACAGCTCTGCTAATGGCCTGCGGCACCCAATTCCCACTGGTTTCTACGCTCACGTGGCAGCAGGCGCCTGAGCTCAGGTTGGTACAGAGAGCAGCTGCTTCCATATCATGGTTCTGGCCACCGCCAGCTCCCATCACACGCTGGTGTAACAGAGATGCTGAGCTTGCTCCTCTTCTCCCTCGCGCATCGGGATGATGCACTAACACCAGTTTCACCCCGCGCATGAAACTTCACCAGGTGTTTTGCGAGTTTCGTTGTCTTTAGCGTTTCTCACGCAGCCCTCCCTCCCCTTCAGTGCCGCTGCTGTCTCCAAGGCGAGCAATCGGCATGACTCAGATTTCACTGCTGTCGACTTGGCGATGGGCTGTTCAGTCCTGTCTGGACAGGAATCCTCACCCGTTCTCAATCCGATCTTCTCAAGGAAGAATAGGCAGCAACAGAGCTTGCTCTCAGGGTGAGACTCAGCTCCTATCACTTGTAATCAACATAGATAAACACACCATGGTAAGATGTAGCAACAAAGCATTCAGGAGCTTAAAAAAGCACAGATATTACAAGTAAAAATGCTTTGGAGCTTTCTTCTCCCTCACCCAAGCCCTCAGCTGAAGCACTCCTTGTTGTATGACTCTGTTCTGCCTCCCTGCCTCATCACTTTGGCACGGCACAACCACTGTATGCATGAGTGGCTGATGTTTCAGCATTTTATCACCTGGTTTGCAATCTGTAGGCAGAGGGAAGTTGAGGGGGGGGCTTGAGATCTCAACTTCTTGCAGCTGTGTCCAGTTTATGACAAACATAAGTTTGTATTGGTCCCAGTGAGCTTGCACTGATTCACCCAGGTGAAGACTTGGACAAAGGCGGCACGATGGGGATCGCACATTTATTCCATCTTGTTTCTTTTCCAGAGTTTGTATGATCCCTAATAGTCATTGAAATATATTTGAGTGGAGCCAGGTGAACCGCCGCAGATAAAACTCTGCAGCTAGGACAGCTCTGCAGATGAGATGTAGTGCAGATTTCATCCCATCTTACTTTTCCAGAGAGGTCTGCGCTGCTCTGACCCTATTCCAGATCAACAGGGCTAACCAATATCTGAAGAAAGAGGGTGATTTGAGGAGATAAGCAGATATGATGACATGTTTAGAGGCACCTTTTTGACATCAGATGCATTTCAGTTCATGCAGCTACAGCATACTGTCATGTCAGTTTGCTTCTACAGCCTACTTTCAACTCAGCATTAGCAATCTCTATGAATTAGAGATGCAGGAAAGAGGCATCCAAATCCGGATCCAAACACCCGTGAACTTTACTTTCATCACTCCCTGTGATGCCCTTTCCATGTGGCTACGCCATGTTTGTCCACTGCAAACTGTCTGCTCTCTGTTTGGCAAAACAAACTTTCCTTTCACAGGCAGTCGCCTTGGTGCAGTGGCTCAGAACAAAGTGAGGATCGGTTAGTGAAACACAAACACGTGGGACCAGCGGCCTCCCTTCTTGTGTGCACAGACTCACCCCGCTGGAGCCTCAGGGTCATGTGCAAAGCAGTGCATGATTTTGGGAAGGGAGCAGTCTATTTGTTTCCAAACAGTTTAGAATTTGACACAAGGTGATACCAGCCCCCTTTCCCCGCTCCATCCCACCCAATCTCTGTTTCCCCTATTTATCTGCCAAGTCTACCATAACAGTGGCCTCCTGATTATGAATAAACACTCAGGGCTATGCTGAAACAGGATAATATGCCCAAAGGGTCTAGGTGGAGAGATCAGCCAAGCAGGAAAGAAACGCTTGTATTCCTTTTGCCTTTTGTTGGGTTTCTGTGGGTGGTTTTGCCGGCCTTTAAGCTTTGTGTTGCTTGTCTTTGTTCTCTCCCCTATAACTGATTAGGCCTCCAACCTAAATATTAGCCATGCCAGATGCTGATGGCTACAGAGAAACATCACATTGTCAAAGGAGCAGAGAATCCATGGCAACCAGCAGCAGGAATTCAAAGCCACAGAATAAAGACCCTGGCCCACAGGACTTCAGAGATACCCGAGGCAGTTCATGCGGGGGCTTTCATTAGCTCTGGCTTTGTGCACTGCACTCACCTCCCTATTGAAATAACCCTGACGTTCCCCAAGAGCCTCTTATCAGTAATATGGGGAAGGATCAATGCTACACTCAAGAGAGCAGGACCGATGAAGAGCAGCATTTACCATGACTGCTTTCTGGGGTAGAGATTTTAGCCTGTAAACCAGGCCTCCTTGCCAAGGAAGAACAGCATCCCACAAAGCGGCCTCGTTACTAAATCCAAACTTCTCAGCTAAATTCTGATTTTACCCTATCTTTGCAAGTTTAATAAATAAGCACATCTGAAGACAATGTGACAGTACAGCCACCAGTAAGCATACTGCCACGGGCCCATTCACACAGTCAGGCCAAAATCCAGACAGAGACAGAACCAGGAAAAAAAAAACAAAACACAAAAAGAAACATAACAAACACATGGACTAATGATGAAAAGCATCGCCTAGATGCCAAGTACAATACAGTGTCGATCCACAGGCGTCAAAAGCGTAGGAGACCACTAATCTCGTGGACCCTGACCTGCACTGCCTACAGGATTGAAATATTTTCTCTGGCAGCTGGAAAACAATGTGGCCTCTGTCACTGGATTTCTTCAGGGGCATTTCAGCAGCACGATCAGCCTCAGGGTAGTGCAGTATGTTAACTTGGCACAACAGCTAGATGTTTCCTAGCCATCCCTCAGCTCTGTTTCACCCACAAAGATAGCACATGAGCCTCTCTTTTTACTGGAAGCATGTGGCCTGTGTGGCACATGCATGAGACAGGCTAACCCCATGTTCTGGTTTCGGCTGGGATAGAGTTAATTTTCTTCCCAGCAGCTGGTACAGGGCTGTGTTTTGGATTTAGGATGAGAACAAAGTTGATAACACACCGATGTTTTAGCTGTTGCTGAGCAGTGCTTACACTAGCCAAGGACTTTTCAGCTTCTCACGCCCTGCCAGCGAGAAGCTGGGAGGGGGCACAGCCAGGACAGCTGACCCAAACCGGCCAAAGGGATATTCCATACCATGGGACGTCATGCTCAGTGTAGAAACTGGGGGGAGTTGGCCGGGGGGTGGCAACCGCTGCTCGGGAACTGGCTGGGCATCGGTTGGCAGGTGGTGAGCAACTGCATTGTGCATTGC